TTCAGCGAGGAGTTACACTAAATGGGAAAGCTTTTAGCACATTATCCACTGGCAATTGGACTATAATCTAATTGTCAGCCCTCGGCTCTTAATAGAGCCTTTCTCTTTCTACCATTGGATTTGCATCTGGGAGATGCCTAATAGGTTTAAAATGCCTCGCATTTTGCTCCAATAAGCCACCTTCTCTCTGTAGGTGACATTGAGATGTTTTTGTTGTGAAATTGGATCTCAGGTACCTGGACTTCTGTCTTGCTGGCGCGGCTCTTTCCGTGGAGAGCGCAGGGGAGGGATGTCCCCGCCGCAGCAAGAGCTCTGGGAGCCGGGGCTGCTCCGAAATCGGGGAGCGCAAAGAGAGGGGGAATCCGGTGGACAGAGCAATAGAATTACGTGCAGCGGAGGACAAAAAAGCTCTTGAAAGCAGGGTTGATAATCTCGTTGCAGGGGAGCGGAGCCAGAGCCAGAGCCCGGTAGCGCTGTAGGCACGTCTCTGTAAAGTAGCGGCGCTCTCTCGCAAAGCACGAACGGGCGAGCCGAAGACCCTGCCCGAGAGCATAAACACCATTCTTTATGCTGGAGAAACTGTTTTTATCTACAAGGGTGAAAAATAAGAAAGAGCAAAAGATTTTAACTCTTCCCTCCCGAGGCAGGAGTAAACTCAATTCCAAAGCAGCGCTGTAGGTTACCTTGGAGAGGGGCTGCAGGCTGGAGGGTCAGACACACGCCCCGGGCAGCACCGGGCCAGCAGCGGTCAGCGTGGGACGGCGGCAGGGAGGGTCTCGGCAGCGGCACCCCGCACCCACAGGCTCCTAATTAAAGGGAAACCTGGTCCTTGCCCTCCGCACAGGCTACGGATCCGGAGGGGAGATGGGGAAGTAACGGAGGAGGAAGGATGGAGGCAAATGCCAGGTTATCCCAAGGGACAACCATGAGAAGAGCGGGTGCCAGCTCGGCTCGGTGCCGGGCTCGTTTTCGGGGAGCAGCCCCGCGGGTGCCGCAGCACAGGTTTGTCTCTGCGGCGTGAAGTGTGCGGCGTGGGGGCCTTTGCGGGAGCAAAAAAAAAAAAAAAAAAAAAAAACCCAAAAAAACCCCACAAAAACTAAAAGGGCAACGGCCCCTCATCACTACGCGAAAGAGTTGCTTAAAACCTGAGCGTGGCTGTCCGCCCGGTGTGCGCCCCTCTCCGCACACCCCGCCCGCGGGCCTGCGTGGCCGCGCTGAGACGCGCAGCGTCGGAGCTCTTGTCACACAGGCGAAGGAGCACCTGAAACCATCCCTCTGGACCATAGGTTGCTCGGCGGGTTTCTGCGGGTTTTCTGTCCCTCGTTTGTCGTTCCCGTCGTGATTTTGTGTAGGTGAGGAAAGGGCCGGAAAGAAGCAGTGCTCATGGTTTTCACGGGATCGAGCTTTCTCCTTGGTTCGTCAGGGATCAGAAAGGGGTTTTGGAAGCGGGCTGCAAACTCTCTGTTTGAAACCTGACGGCGAAACTGAGACCTAATCCTGGTTTAAAGCTGGGAACCGAACCAGCGAGTTGAGGTGTGCAGCGATTACCGCACACTGTTTTTTGCTGGTGCACATGAGAGTAAGGAGCTTTTTAGGCAAAGGAAAATGGGGGAAAAAGTATTTTGAAAGAATAATGAAGCCTAATGAAATGTCTCTGCCACAGCAGGCTGACACCAGCGACAAACACATGGATTTGCTAGATTAAAAGCAAACTGCAGTGTAGATTGTGTGTTCTTCATATACGGGTAAACAATAACGAAGGATTTAATTGAAACGGGTTCAAACGAGGCAAGCGCCCTGTTGGGGAGCAGCAGGGTTGGTAACTCTGCTCTCGGGAGGGGGTCGGTACAGTGGTGACAGCTGCTCTGTGCCTGGGCGCGGCGGGGACTGGCAGCTCCGGTTCGCATCCCCTGGGAAGAGCGCCCGGACGTTTCTGAATACATCCACTTGGCTGGGAAAGCAGAGAGGCATCAAGGGCTTTGGGGTAGTAGTGTGTTCCCCGGCCACCCCCTGGTCTCTGGAAGCCGGCCCGTCGCCGGAGAGGGCCGTGGGCAGGGACGGCAAAGTAGCCCAGGGAAGCCGGGCTCTCACCCTCTCCTCACTTGGGTTGCCTGATCCCTGTGTCTCCCCAGCTCGGCCCCGGCGGGGGAGGGAGCCGTAGCGAGGATTAGGCGGCAGGAGCTGAGACCCATTCCCTGCCCACGGGGAAGGAGGGGGTGCTCTGGGCGTCTAGACAAGGCTTATTTCCTTATCGGAGGCGGAGCGAGGGAAAAAAACCTTAAAAAAATTTACAGATTCTCGTCGGATAGAGCGAAAAATTGCATGGCTTAACCAAGCAAAAGAAAAGCCATCCTGTGTGGACGGACCCATTTAAAACAAAATAAAACGAAGCTCCTGGTTTCTTTCCATCCTGGGTTGTTTTTTTTTTTGTTTGTTTGGGGGTTTTTTTGTTTGTTTGGGGGTTTTTTTGTTTGTTTGGGGGTTTTTTTGTTTGTTTGGGGGTTTTTTTGTTTGTTTGGGGGTTTTTTTGTTTGTTTGGGGGTTTTTTTGTTTGTTTGGGGTTTTTTTTGTTTTTTTTTACCTACAAGGTACGAACAGAGATCTGCAAACCCCAAAAGCCAGTTTCTTTCCCCGGGGGATACCTCCTGCCCAGAGGTGACCGGCAGCCCCTTCCCAGCTCCTCGGCCTCGGTTGCCCCTCGCCCTCCGCGCCCGGGTGCGCCGTGCCCCGCTCACCGCGCAGCGCTTCCCCCCGCGGCCCAGTCCTCCTCCCCCGGGCCAAGGCAAGGACCGCTCGCCCCGCGGGACTGGAAATCCCGCGGCGAGGGAGAGCAGAAATCGGTCCGGAGCTGCCTCAGCTGCCGGGGCTGAGCCGGTGTTTCTCAGACGGACGCACAGAAATATCCAGTCACCCACCGCCCCTCTCCCCTCAGCCCCGATGGACCGGGGGCAGCCCCTGCTAGGGACAGGTATGTTACGATCGCACTGCTGGGGGACGGAAATAAGTAAAGGGAAAAGAGAGGTTGTTTTGGGGGGTTTGGTTGTTTGGGGTTTTTCTCGGTTTTGTTTTGGTGTGATTTTTTTGTTTTGGTTTTTTTTTTTTTTTTTTGGTAGGATCCGCTCTGCTACTTCGACAGGTTTTATTATCCTTACTTGCGCATCGCGTAGAGTAGGTAGGAAACCAAAGGAGACTTAGGCATCCCTGTTACCACCAGAGGAAAGGTGAAGAGGATAACTTCCCCGGCTGTTTGTACCCTCCTTTGTCTTTCATTCAGGCAGGCCGTACCCTGCTTTTCAAGTAGGGTCAAAGGAGCGCAGGGCCGGGAGCTGGAGATCCCCGTCCCGCCGCCCCCCGCACGCCCGGAGGGGTCCCAGGAGCGGGGCTGTCCCGCAGGGAAACCGGACCCGTATTTGCCAGGGTGTCCCTCAGGATAAAGTGGTAAAGTGTTGAGGGGACTTTTTGCTTGTTTTTTTTAAAGATTGGTGTTGGCAGAACCTCTCGTCTGCTTCCCTGCGTCAAGCAAGAGGCGATGCTTCGTGAGCTGACCCTGCGGGCTCGCCGGCCGCGGGGCTGGCTGGGCTCTCCCCTTTCGCCCTCTCCTCCCGCTAATGCCTGCGGCGAGACCGGGCCCCAGACCGCTGTGGGCCACGCCGAAATCCTCTGCCAGACGCTTTAGGCGCTTCTCAATATGCCCGTCCCGTTTGCGATAGATATTATATCTATTAGCAAATTCAGGTAACAAAAGGGCAAACTGCAGGTGATTCTCGCTGATCTCAAAGCGATAAAGCACTTGTTCGTCTTCCCCACTCCACTGGCCGGGCAGGAGGACCCAAATAATTCTTTCTCCATAATAATCAAGTGTAGCAGGAACAGGATTGACACCGGGTATGCATGGCTCTTGGCACGACCCTGCATAACAAGAGTCCTTGGATTGTTTCTAGGTTTGAAAGGTGGAACTTCATTGATAAAGTTGCACGTCCTCTTGTGAGTCGTTCTAGCGAGTAAATATCTTCAGTGATATTTTTATTTAAATGAATTTAATTAAACGCACCTCTTTTCTTTATTTCATTTATTCATGAGAGTGTGTTTACATTGTATGTGTGAAAGAGCACTGGTGAGAAACTTACTTAAATCACCGCCTTGGAATAAGCTACTCGTTGGTATCATCAGCCCGTCCCGACAGAGAAAGTCTTATGCGCCTGATCAATACCATCTATTTCGGCACAGCCGATGAAACGGCTTTGAAGAAAACTGTGCTATCAGCGGCCCACGCACTGGTTTGGCTGAGAAGGGAATGCTGCAAGGATCTCACCTGCAGTCGGTGGGGGCGAGTACATCTCATTGGGATGACAATATTTGGGATCCGGTGCAGCAAAACCAAGAATACGATCAGCCTTAAGGAACATTCTGTCCCAGCAGAAAGCACACAACGACGAAAACGGCTGCTTTGAAAGCTGCCGTCTTTTAATATTTGAATGTAAAAGAGAAAATTGACACTCACAGGCACGCACCAGAAAAATTCACAATTACATTTCATCCTTTCAAGCGCCTCTCCGCCGTTTCTTGCCTCGGCAAAGCGAATAGCCTAGGGACCTTCTCGGGAGCATCCCTGGCCGCGCGGCCTGCCCCCTCCTTCCCGCCCCCGGGGCTCGGAGGAGCGGATGGCGCTCCCCGAACCGCAGCCGGGGCCCCGGCGGGGAGCGGGGCTGGGGTGCCCGAAAGGGGAGCGGCTGCGGGGAGCTGTCCCGAGGGCCGGCCGCCCCCTCCCCACCCAGCGGGCGGGCAGAGCCGAGCCCAGCCCTCCCCTCCTTTCCCTCCCCTCCCTCCGTTCCTCCTCCTCCTCCTCCTGCTGCCGCTGCTCCTGCTGCTGCCCGCCTCCGCCCCCTCCCCCGCGGCCGGGCCGGGCCGGGCCGGGGCCCTTGACGTGTCCCGGCGCCGATTGGCCGCCGGCCGATAGGATCTCCGCGGCCCCGCGTTAAGGCGGGGGAGCGCGCGGCGCCGGGAGCAGAGCGCTCCCGATATCCCGGCTCTGCCACCCCCGGCCGGTGCTTCCCCCCGCCCCGTCCGGGCAGCGCCGCACCGAGCCGCGTCCCCGCACAGTGGCCATGGAGTACACGCCGCCCCCCAAGCCGCAGCTCTCCTCCCGGGCCAACGCCTTCTCCATCGCCGCCCTCATGTCGAGCGGCAGCTCCAAGGACAAGGAGTCCCCCGAGAGCACCATCAAGCCTCTGGGTGAGTGGGGACGGGGGTGACCGCCGGTGTCTGTGGGGTCCGTCCGTCTGTCCTGTCCGCCCGGGCTCACCCTTCTCAGCGCTCCGGCGGCCGGGCTGAGCAGCGGCGCGTCCCCCCTGCCCGAAGGTTTCCCCTGCAGAGGGGAAACCTGCACCACCTAAGCTTGAAGGCTGAGTGCCTTATTACCCACGGTCGTTTTTAGGCGAGGCTGTTTATAGCATGAAGAGTTTCCTAAATTCCTCTAGTTTTAGTTATGCGTCTCATTCATCCAGCTTCGCCATTTGCAGAATAATTCCACACTCTTACGGTAGTTCAATTTCTCTTCGCTGACATGAAATGAATCCCTTAAGTAGATTCTGCAAATCTACCCCGGTTCTAAAGTCAAATTAGAGATTCTCCGCTGTCGTACCTAGGCTTACAAGCGGTAGTAAAACTTGTGCGTAGAACTGAAAATCCCTTCACTGCACAGCTCCTCGATGTAGGATCATAAAAGTTGTTTTGCTCTACACAGACCGGGAGGAGTTTTTTGTAAGCATTTGCGATTTTCGGGTTAGCGTTTTCACTGTATTCGGTTGCCTCGATCCAGAATCCTGAAAGCTTTTAAAAAACTTGAACATCTTCCCCTCCTCCCCCCCTCCAAGTTTCTGTGGTTTGTCATCCTTGTATGTATCTGGAGTGCGTGTATCTAGGAGTTCGCAGAAAACTACAAAATATGTGTTAAGCTTTCAGGGCGCCAATGAACAGGATTACACTCAATCTTAAAAGAATTTAGAAAAGGCAGCTCCTCAGTGTCTGCTGCACCTAATCAACTGTCTCAAAAGATTTCACATAGTCTAGGGATTCACTGGGAAATTCAGTTTTAAGTCTGGACGCTAATGTAGGCCGAGAACGTTGTAGTATTCCCGGTCGGCGTATTTACATGGGTTTGTGTTAAAGCTTAGTGTTAGGGTGATTGGTTTGGAGTTTTGGTTTTGTTTTGTTTGTTTGTTTGTTTTCCTGAAAATACTTATTTAATTTAACTTTTCAAAAATTTTTAACCCCTTCCCTCATGTCGTTCAACTAAAAATCGAAGGGAAACGACTGCCTGTGACTCAGTTTTTATTCACTGGAGCTTTAGGCAAAACCTTTCCCTGGAGGGGCAGGGCGCGTTCGTGCCCCTCCCGTTCTTTGGCGCCGGGCGGCGGATCTGTCGCCGCATCCCGGTGCCGCATCGCGGGGTCGGGAAGAGCCCTCGCAGCCCTGCTCCCTCCCGGCCTCGCCTCCGGCGGAAACTCCCAACGGAGCTGCTGAAGCGCCCGAAGCCTCCCGGGGCTTGCGGGGGTGGGCGGCAGCGCCGGCGGGAGCCAGGCGTGGCGGGCGGCAGCAGCTACTGCACCCGCGTAGGTTGCGCGGCCGCACGCAGCTCCCCCGGAGCCTGTTTCTCCAAAGGAGCGGGTTCAGTGTCAGCAAACCGGCTGGGAGAAGGGCCGACAGACTCAGCTTTCCGGGAGGGTGAGCCCGTGCCCGCTGTTTAATTAGTATTTGGGGTTCGCTTCCCCGTGAAGGAAGCGCGGAGCCTGCGCGGCCGCGCTCGGGCTCCTTCTGCGTTGCGCTCTCTGTCAAAGGCGCATTCCGGGAGCAGCGTCCCGTGCTCCCCCAGCGTGACCCTGGCCCTCGGCAGCCCCTCGGCGCCCAACGCTCCCGTTTTAATGAGAATTAGTGACCTTTCCGTGGAACCCCTCGGTTAGCGGCGGGGGCAGCGCGCAGGGCGGAGCGGATCACAGCCGGTCACAGCGGCGGCGAGGCCGGGGCCGAGCTGCTCCCGCCGCACGCCGAGCGGCTCTCCCGGTGCGCCTCTGGGGAGCGGCGCCGCTGCGGGCTCCTCCCGGAGCTCATCTCCGAAAATCAACACCGCTGCCCCCAGATGATGAGCGGACGCCTAAAGAATCGGCGGGGTGTGCGGGGCCAGTTGAATGATAAATGCCTTTTATATATATATATATATATATATATGTATGTATGTATATATTTAAATAGCTTGTCTCGGTGGTCGCATTGTCCTGGCTGAATCCTCTCTCTCTCCCTATTTTTCTTTTTCTGTGTCTCTCTCTGTTTTTCCTCAAACCCTGCAGAACAATTCGTTGAGAAATCCTCCTGCGCCCAGCCTTTGAGTGATTTATCCAGCCTGGACCCTCACGGGGATTTTAGCAGCAGCCCTTCTTCCCTGTGTACCGAGCCCCTCATCCCCACCACCCCCATCATCCCCAGCGAGGAGATGGCCAAAATCTCCTGCAGCCTGGAGACCAAAGAGCTCTGGGACAAGTTTCATGAACTGGGTACCGAGATGATCATCACCAAATCCGGGAGGTAAGACTGGGCAGCCCCTGGGTTTCCCTCTGGACATCTTTCAAAAAGCGGCTTTGGTCAGGTCAAAAAAGGGCAAAATTACCGAAACCCCGCAGGTTTTTTTTTTTTTTTTTTTTTTTTTTTTTTTTATCGGGAGAACAGCACGGCTGGGTTAAGGGGAGGAGGGTAAAGCCCCGTATTTCCCGCAGCCCCTCGGCGGGCCCAGCGGGGCAGAGGGAGAAGCGGCCGGGGCCGGCAGCGAGGTGCGGGCGCTGCGGCGGGGCCGGCTGAAATCCACCCGGGCCGTCCTGGCGGCAGGGAAGGGTTGTTTCCCGAATAATCAGGTTTGTGTCTGAAATCTTGCCGTGATTTTGAGGCGCTGGGTTGGTGCAGACCGAGGGAAAATCGGAGTCGTGGGGAAGTGATTCTGTCAGAGCTTGGTTTGGTTTGTTCTTTTCTCTCCGTTGCAAAAATGCGCAAAAGAATTTCAGGCTTTCTTTTTACCTCAAACTATGCCGTTTCTTCAGTAAAGCTTGTGGGGTTTGGGTCAGTCAAACGCAGTCCGGAGGAGCCAAATGTCTTTTTGCGTTTCTTAATCCCCAAAGTTACTTTTTATTAACGTAGTTACCTGAAGATTTTTTTTTTTTTTCCTAACTGGTGAGCTCTATCGGTATATGGTTTAAATAAATAAATTAAAAAAGGTATAAAACATGCAATACAAAACATGCAATTTAAAGTTCAATATTTTAAACTGTCAAAAATTATTTGACTTTATTTCTGGTCCACAGGATAACCTTACATTTTAAAATTGTGTTTTGTAAAAACAGGACAGAAAAAAAATGTTTTAGTTTGGAAAATTCAGTTCAAAAATATTGTGAGCAGGCTTAAGAAAACACTCACTTAAAATATGTGAAAATAACAACGGAAGTAATTTTGGAATATTTCCCTTACAGTAGTATGGATCCTGCAAAACATAAATTAAAGGAAATCCAAGTTCCTAAGTATCTATGTACCTTAGCTACAACTATTTTCAGAAATCGTTGTGTACTTTTACTAAGAGGCAAATAGTATATTCCTCCTTTCCTTATCCAGTTTTTACCATTTTTTTTTTGCTTCCCAAATATAATTTCGATTTCAAGCTGCTTTTTGTCTCCTTATTAGAGAGACACAAGATTTAACTCCCGTCATGCGGAAGAAAAATCAATACATGCTTTAAGTTTTTGCAGGGGATTTAAATATAATTCTTACTTTTAGCAGCTTTTCAGATGCTTTATTATTTCTGTTCTCTGCCCAAATATTTATTTTCTGATTTGCTTTTTTTTTAGGAGAATGTTTCCAACGATCAGGGTTTCCTTCTCAGGAGTGGATCCTGAGGCCAAGTATATTGTGTTAATGGATATAGTTCCTGTGGACAATAAAAGATATAGATATGCCTACCACAGGTCTTCCTGGTTAGTGGCTGGAAAAGCTGACCCTCCTCTCCCTGCAAGGTTTGTAGATTTTATTGCTGGTCTTTTATTTCTCTTTACTATTTTTTTTTCCTCTTCACGAAATACCTTGCATTAATCTTTCCATTCGGTTTTCAAACAGTGCTCTGAGATTTTGAGTTCATGTTCAACAAAGCTCGTTACAAAACTCTGATTACAATTTTTGTGTTGCAAAATCTGGCCTCAAATCTCTGCTTGAGATTTGATTTATACTGAGTATTCCAAGATATGCAGAATTTGGTTAAGAGTTCTTTTACACATACTGGGGTTTAATTTTTTTTTTAAGTTTGTCGTGATTCAGATAAGAAAACTGAAAAGAAAAAATTTGATGTGTCTCTTGGATTTGGCCCCCCAATATTTGACCTTATAATTTAAAGCCATTCAGGCGCCAGCAGCCAAGCCAAAGTAGAAATAAATTGCAGCTCATTGCTGTTTATGCTTGAAATTATATTATTTCTGTAACATACCCAGCATTTGCTAACCAACGATTTTATTCTTGATTTTAATCATCTCTTAGGCAGCAGGCAAAGTACAGAACAGTTCCTCAGCACAGTTACTTTTCGTTAAAAGATCATGACATATTCTGAGACATCAGGGAAAAAACCCTCTGTAAAATAAACTCTCTAAAATAAATTTGCTTTTCTCTACAGAAACAAATGCTTTAGAAATTAAATTTCTGAAGTCATTCCATTAATGTAATTAATGACTGATTCCTTTAAGCACTGGGCAACTGAGGCTGCAGCGCTGGGCTGTACAGTGGGAGGGCACTTCGGAGGAGACCCACACTTCATCGTATTCAGCCCAGCACTTCTGTACCTACTTCAGTCCCCAAGCCCGGGGAGGCTGCAGCACATGTCGAAAGGCTTTGCTGAGTCAGAGCTGGAGATATGGAAATAACGCGGATGCCTCTCTGGCTTCAAAGAAACTTTTTGCAGAGGGCTCCATGCAGGAGCACAGATCTGCTCCAGGTGGCTTAGCCTGGGGTTAAGAACTTGCTTATTACAGAGGCAGAAATTATAAGTGAAACACAAGAAATGGAAACAATTTTTTTTTTTTTTTTTTGGTGTGTGAGTATAGGCACCAAATTCTGCGCAATTTCCTTATATAAATAGTTGAACTGAAATCTTGGTGACTGGTGATCTCTGGAAGGCTGTTCAGGGAAGTAAACAAACAAAAAGCGCAAGCAGAGAAGCTGAGATTAAAGACAGCAACCTAGGAGTTATGTCTGCTTTGTTTTCATGGCCAAAAACTCCTTCTTGCAGTGTGGTTAACGTCTGAGGGCTTCATTTGACGTATTGTAATAGGCACTGATCAAAACCCAAAGAAAAAACACAGATCCTGCTCCAAAGGAGTCAGCATCAAAAGAAGAAATAACAGAAGAACAGAAATAATTTTAAGGCAGTGTTTCCCCCATTCTTATTTTGCTGTTCACGCCCCTTTTGGGATACCTTTAAATAGATTGCTAATTCACACTCTCTCTAGCATAGACTTGCTCAACAAGGAAATACTAGAAATAAAACTAGAGACTGGAATAATTAGCAATTGCCCTACTGAGTATTGGATAAAACCTTCTTGAAGTTTAAAAGTTATTTTTATGGTACCGCAATAACTTTTGTGAGTCCTCAGCAGATCAGTGCCCTTATGTGCAAATCTGTGCTGTTCCATTTGCAGGATGCTTTGCCCCCGTGTGTGAATGTGCACCTTTCCTGCTTCATTTTTAGGATGTTAAACAGACTATGGATCAGAGCACAGCCAGAGACAGCTTTTTCTTTGTGTAGACGCTACTTACATATACATTTATGCACTTTCTCCTCTTTATACTTCTCTTTGGTGAGAAAAAGGATGTCAAGAGGTTCAGCATGCTGGTGTTTGCATTACCAGTGCTTCTTCTAGAGCGTTAATGCATCTTTTCAGGTGGGAGGCCTCAGTCTTGCTTGAAAAGATTAAAAGTAGTTCTCCTCCCATCTTGAAACGAGTTTGGTCCTGCTTCAGTAACAAAACCCTTAACGAAGTTAGGATTTCTTGTCCTCCAAACACAGGGTTTTAGCTCTCCCTGCTTGAGGAGTGTCAGTGAGAGGTGTGTGTGTGTGTTTAGTGTCTGGGAACTGGCAACAAGGTACTTACTCCCCACACACATCACTGCCTGCATCTGCCCAGGCACAGTGACATCAGGGGAATAATTCAGGAGTTGCATTGTGCCTGGGTGTAAGACTTTGCAGGATTGAACCAGTTTGATGGTTTTACTCTTTCCATTATAAAAATAACTTTCAACACTGACAGTTTTGTAGGGTTTTTTTCCAAATTAATAAGTATTCTGCGATTCTGTTTGAAAGATTAGCCCTTCAGGGAACTTTCTATTAAAACCAGTTTTATCCTTGTCTTCCTGCTGTCAATGTTGAAGACAAGTTTATGTTGCAATGAACAAGTTTATGTTGCAATGAGCACTTAAATAAAAATACTTTTTAGAAAGTCTTTTGTAAATCTTCTAAAGTGGTATCTGGGGATAGAGTTCCTATGTGATATTTTGTGTTTGTCTTCCACATTAAGACTGCGTGAAACATCAGTTCACTAAGTTTCCCCATGTACCTTTATTTGATATTCTTCCTTCTTTGCCTCATTTCTTTCACTCAAAAGTTTGTCACTATATATTTTTTTAAAACTGTATTTGTCTACAATAATTTGTTTAATTAACTTAGTGTTTACAGACTTACAGAGAACTCTAGGCAGGAAAACTTTAAAAGGTATTATATTTTGAGAATTATTTGAGACGTTATGGTAAATAAAAGTAGCATGCACGGGGACCAGACCATCTGTTAAAGTAAATAGAGGGAGTGCAGTGTTGCATTCCAAAATACAAAGAAAGAAGCAGTACCCAAACCTTGCATATATCATGAATCATTATATACTGCAGAGCAAATTCACCCCCAAATATGGCTCCTAAATCCTTTGTGAATCGAAGCGAGGAGCCCCTCACATCTGGCTGGCCTTAGGCAGCAGATCCCAGGCAAACTTCTGGGAGAGCCTTGTGTGCCGCGCTGGAATGTGCACATTTATCTCGCTGACCTGTTTGCTTGTGCACACTCGTGGTCTTGCCAACAACTTCAGCTTCAGAAATTGCTATGTCAAGTGTTCAACGCTCTTCCCTGAGGTGTGCAAGCTCGGGCTGTGGGAGAATGGGAAATAGGTGTAGCTCACCGGGTGGAAACCTGTGTTGCAGTGGGATTGTTGGGGTGTAGCAAATGGGCAAAGAAAAGTAAGGTCTATTATGGTATTGTATACCAGTAATTGATATTCTGGTGCCCATCCTTCAGTGGCTTTCTTGTTAGCACTCTGTTTACAGGCCCTTGGTAGTTTTAAAGCAGTGCCAAGCATTAACCATGATGGTGTAAAACAATTGTGCTCAGCTTTTCAGCACAGGGAGGTCTTTACTCATTCCCTGTGCATATTTGAAATACTTTGGCTTCTTGGTCCCAATTAGCCAAACCTTGCTGAGTCTGACACTCTGTGATCATAGTAAACACTATTAGCTATCCAGACACTCAAAATTAGGAGGCAGGCAAAAAAAAAAAAAAAAAAAAAAAAAAAAAAAAAAAAATCACAAGGCTGGCTGAAAATTTGCAGGGCATGTTTGGGACTCTTTTTGTTTTGCCTTCTTTTTGTAGAGCCTTTAGGGCTCTAAATATTGAAATTTTTACATTTTTTTAGAGGAAGGCAAAGTTAGTTTTCATGAGAGCTAAGATTCTTTTGACATAACATGATTCCGGGTCTTGGGATTTCAGATACACCATCATTTTTTTATGAGCTTTGCAGTGCAATCAGCAGAGTCAATAGCAGAGAGGACGCCTGCATGCTAGGAATATTTTATTGTGACAGGAATCCTGGCTCAGCATCCCTCCCATGAACATAGCTAGAGCAGCCAAGCTGTGCTTTGGATCAATGTAAGGAAAACATCCTGCACATCTGAGGCGACCTATGCTGGTAAAACTTCAGTTTCACTGTGTCTTGGGGATTCTGCTGGCAAAAAACAGAATACAGGATCAAATCTCCTTCCTCTTTGAGCAACAGGGTTGCTCTCCCCAGCGTCTTTAGTATGGGCATTCCTTGATTAGGGATCAGCGTGCTCTATTGGAGAGTTACGCCCCACCGTTTAGTGGTTTTTCCGTTCTAAAATCGTAGCTCGACAACGAGGACAAATGTTTATCTTCCTAACCTGGCAGCTCAGTCCTGCCCCACCCACCTCATGCAAGAAAGTAATTTGTGAGGCCAAAGACATCACCCAAAATGAGAGTCAGGCCCTCAGTGAGTGATAACCAATGCGGGCAGTAGCAAAACAGGGCTGGTTTGCACTAGCTGAAGGTCTAGTCCAGCTCTTAATTTGCCATCACACAAGAACAGTTGAGTTAATAATTTTCAGCAATGCGTTTTTCCTATAAAATCATTGCTCTTAAACAGCACAGCACTTGTAATTAGTGTAGTCATAATGTATATATCATTGTATCTGCATGTCTTCTTGCTTCCTTTTCTTCTGCTTAATTTCCCAAGTGTAGGATTGTTAATAGCAGTGCTGCAACTAATTTCTCATGTCAGACCACTGTGCTGGACTGCAGCCTTCAACCTCTTATAAACAGACGTCACTACAGCAAATGTGTGATCGAGTGCAGGTTAAAATCATTATCACGGCTTAATGTTACATATAAAGAAAAATGCATTTTTATCTGCATTCCCCCATTATCTCTGTAATGACACCATGTTTTTTCTCTTGGAGTTGTAGTCATTGTTATTTTAAGTGCTTGTTAGTACAGCTGTGGGGAAAGACATGATCAATTTTTCATTTGGGAAAAGACACAACAGGGAATGTTAATGTCTCCATTTTAGATAGCAGGATAAAATAATAGTTATGGTTAAGGAGCAGTCTAGCACTCACACACAGGATTCTCAATTATGTTGCAGTGAATTAAATAAGTCATCTTCTTTACTGTCCTTCATGAATAGCTTTATTTCAGGAATTCATTAATTTTGGGGAGATGGTGTCGTGTTCCAGCAGCAGATTTGTATTACCCTAAGTTCTCAGGAAGTCTATGCCCATGAAACCACTGCATACCCCAAAAGCAAAATGACATGCACATTTTGACTTCATACAGAGGTGCTGCCCACACACAAATCCAGAGGTGAGATTTTATTTTGAGCAGGCATTTTTCCTGTGTTTTTTAGGTTGTATGTGCACCCCGACTCCCCGTTCACAGGAGAGCAACTGCTGAAGCAGATGGTGTCCTTCGAAAAAGTCAAACTCACCAACAACGAGCTGGATCAGCATGGCCATGTGAGTAGCCCTATGGGTGGGAAAGGGAAAAGAAATCACCAAGGAATTGCTTGCTTGTGCCACAGAGCTGAATGAGAGAGAGACTGCCATGGGGAAAGGCTGCCATGGCCCCCATGTTACACCTCTTTTAGCCAGCCCTTCGTACCACAGGGGTGGAAGATGTGTGAAGCTTGAACGTTTCGGTTTAACATGTTTAAGGGTCCTTTTGTGTTCTTTTGTTGTTGAGGAACAGGCAAAACATCCATCAGAGACAAGGTCAGGGTGGAGTTGAACATAGGGATAGAAGGAAGGCAGCTGAGCCTTTTGTTGTGCTTCTGCTTTCATTTTGCTGTGACTTGGCAGTAAGCTCTGCCACACGCCGTGGCCAGCAAACCCACGTGCTTTTATCTGTGTGCTTGGAAGCTCCCTACAGGTCACTTCAGGCCACCTGCTAGGGTTGGGCCTGTCAATAAGAGCTCTTTGACTTCCAGACTCATCGCAGCATGGGCTCAAAGTCAGGAGAAAATACTGACCTGACACCAAAGCAGGGTCTATAGAATTATAAAACATAAGTGTGCCTCAATTGCCCTTGAAACAACTGTCGACTAACTGCAAGTCAAGGTGCCACAGGGTGGGCTTGGGCCTCTGAAAGAGACAGGTCCCAAGTCTGACTGGTGCCAGTTTGTTGTCCTAAGTCCTGAGACTGGAGGATGGTGAATAGGATTCAGAGCTGCTTGCCATGGGTTCCTGCTGTGCTCCATCAGTGGGGACAACTCCTGTAGTTATCTGAGTGCCTAGTGGTAGGTGGTAAGAATAGGTATTGCCTATCCTGTTCTCTCCGTAGAAGTGCCTGTGAAGTGCAGGAACAACTAGATAGTGCTTCCAAATTGTGAAGAAAGAGCTAAAATTGTTGCCTCTGGGCTTGGTGATTCTCTCAAGGAAGGCAGAAGGAGCAAGGGGATGGATTTGAAAGAATTGTTGACTGAGAACAGGGCAGTTCAGTTTAGAAGAATGAGCATAAATGCAGTGTTAGTAAATGAGGTGTTGGGAAGAGAGAAATGATGTTGAATTTTAAAGCATGTGTAGGATAATTAATTCATTCAGCTGAACAATTGCTGAATACAATGTATCAGAAATCCCTTCCCTAGTGTGGAATTTATTGCCTGGACTGTGGGAGACAGTGGCCATTTGTCTCAGCTGTGTTCTGTGCAAATGTTTCTCATCCAAAAGTGAATTTTCACTCATTTCAAGAACCGAGAATTGAACCACAGCCATGATCATTTAAAATACATCCTGGAAATAACAGCATCAAAAGTAGCTGAAACAAACAAATAAACAAAAGAAAGCCCAGATAGATGCCTCTGTGTTTTTCTTTTGTAGAGATCCATCTGTGAATATATTGTTCTTGAACCCAGTTCCCACTGTTGTTCCCTTCAGGACTAGTGGAGAATGGTTTTGCTTTTTTCCTCTCTTTTATTTCATAATCTGTAGAAGGGCAAAGCTGAAGATTTGTGGGCTCTATCACCGAGTGATGATAGAGCAGTATACGTGAGCACTTAAAAAGAAGCATTTTTCATCATAACAGGGGCCATGTGTGCCTCTAATAAAGGGCTTGCAGCAGTATATTGCAAGCTAGTTAGGAGAGCTGCAGTTCCCAGAAGCCCAGAGGAGTAGGAAGAAGAAGTGGGTCTGAGGAGCTGTCGGGAACAGAGACATGTGGCAGAGCAAGAAGATGTAATCGTCTCAAATACAGGCAGCAGGAGAAAATGATCCGTAGTGTTTGAGACGCAGCCTTCCCATTAATTTCCGGAGAAGCAGAGGTTGATCCCATTCTTTACACAAAGGCTCTGGACAGCCAACGACAATGGAAAGTTTTGTGTGCTTAGTTAAGGATAAGCCCTGAAGGCTTGATCCTGTGTTGAGATTTGAGTGTCAGGTGTTACCCCTTCACAGAGCACTCTCTTTTTAATGGGGCTTTATATTCCAAATTAGGATGCCAGGTTTTATGTGCTGCCTTACTGAAGTTAGGCAAATGCCATCACTGGATGATCAGTAGAATTAAGGAAGAAATCAGTTCTCTGGAGCCTTTAAGGAGGGGTCACTGTGCTATGCCTCATGGCATTTCTGAACTCCTGTGTATGAAGGTTTGAAAGAGCCAGTCTTCACTTTTTAATTATGTTTGATAAGGCATGTTCATTCCCGAGGAAATTTGGATGACCCAAAAGGCACCTTTAAATACTAGTTACAGGTAGGGAAAATGGATCCAGCCTGATTCCAGTTTGTTCTAGTTGCTTGCTTTCTTCACCGTGCAGAAGACAGTTTTGGGTGTTAAGGTAATTGTGTTTTTTTTCTTCCTGAAAAGGAAGAAGTAGAGAAGAGAGGCAATTGTTTGTTCTAGCATATGTTTGTTTTCTCTTATTCCGAGACTTTTGGGGTTGGCAAGCATTTCTGATTGTGTACCTTCAGCAGCATGTGTAACCCCAGAGTTATGCACATATTCTCCTCAAGCCTCAGGCAGAAGTCTAATCTCTGTGTGCATGGCATACAGCTCACTGCATGGAAACACTTTCAGATATCTTTACCAGAGGAAGGAAATGGCTCCTATCTCTAGATTTTTACAGCCAAGCAAGTAATTGCCATTTTTCTGACTCTGAAATATTTATGAGTGTGACTTTTTTTCCACTTGTTTTTTAAATGATACTTTTCACACAGAGTGCTTTCTTTAGGATTTTCACTGCCCTTCATTTGAGTGCCATCATTTCTGGTTTATGGTGAGGCGAGCCATGAGTGAATACATTATTGTAATAATATACTTGGCATTATTTTTGGCATTTACTCAAACACATGAATCTATGCAATAGCAAACTCAAAGCTGTGAACATGTTTAATAAATAACTGTGAAAACTGAAAAGGGGTTGTGGAATAGCCACATGGAGTTATCCTCAAGATTTTTTAGTCAACCAGGCACAAGTTAGGAACCATTGTACTTTCAGAAAGAAAATTTTACATGGTAATGCTATTATTTGGTGAATATGGAAACGGCACTCACAGCACAGTTCCTGAATTCAAAACCACCTTGGAATTTTGCAGCTGGCATCCAGATTGCCTCCGGTGACTGGTGGGAGCCAGATGCCTACAAACCTGCCTGACCTTACAGCAATCAGGATCCTGTAAGGAGGTATCCTGGTCATCTCCCCTGACTCAGGCTGTCAGCACAAAGGTGGATGGGGTGGCTGAGGGTCTGTGGCTGCCAGCAAGTGTGTTCAGGGGGGCTGCCATGAATATATGGGCACCTGATGTACCGCTTGGGACATGCCAGCAGGATTGTCACTGAGTTGGCACAAGGGATTTTCTGATAGCTACACCATGCAGGACTGCTTGGACTTTGAGGCCACTCTTGGAGTCTACTCTCTGAGGAACACCCTGTGGATCTCACTCCTTTGGGCTGTTTTTATGTGGTCCTAATACAGATATTAAGGACTGTCTTTGTGTGTCATCAGCAGCTTGTGTGGGGGTGGAGGTGGGGAACCACACATACAGACCCTCACATGAAGGAAATGGTGACATTTTCCTTGGTCATGGGTGTTTTGTGACCTCCCGGCTCCATTCAGTACTTGTTTTGTACATGAGTGACCAGACTTGCTTCTGGTGGGAATGAGAAATGTAGAGCACCATGGCAAGGGAAGTTATCCATGTGCACTCTATTTTATGGAAAACTTTCGTAAGAGATTACATGTTCTTGTTTGAGAAATATAGTTCCTTTATCACAGTTTGCATTCAGAGAGGAGTAAAAGAAAAGGGAATGTGTGGGAGCTCCTCTCAACTTTTTCCTCCTTCTTCCCCACTGCTGCTCAGGTGTAATGCCTTGGTGTGTGTATCATGGCCATGAAAGGCAATGGAAAGAACCAAGGTCTGTGTGCCAAGCCCTCAGTAAGCTCATCACCATCCACACACCCTGCTTTAAAATGTCTTTTCCATCTGCTTAGAGCACTCTGACTAACTAGGATGGTAAGAAGAAATTTTACAAAGAGAGGGAAAAGTGCTAAGGATATGAAAGGCAAGGTCCATGGCCACTGTGTGTGTTCCTATATAAAATGGTGAAGTGCTTTGAAAAGGGACCTGAGCTGGTTAGAGTGAATATGCAACACTTTCAAGATGATGGTTCACTGTCATTGCAATGTCTTTCTTGTTGCTCTGTGCCTCCCCACAGAGTCCCAGTGTGAGTCTTGGCAATATTTGGGCCCAAAGGAGCAGCAAAGAAAAACATTGATGGAAATTGTAGCCATGACAGAGCTGTCTCTAAGCTCTCCACTCCAATGCAATGTGCAACCTTTCTCATTGACTTAGCATGAAATACTGCACTGCTCCTGCAATGTTTCAGCTGAAGTTAACGCTTCCTGAGGAATTCACATTAGCTATTCCAGATGTACGGAGCTGACTGTAGTGTCGTTATGGCCCCTGCAAAATAGAACCACCCACACCATTGCCAATTTTGTCTTGTGACTGTGATTATATCCAAAACAAGGGCTGGTGTGAGCTGAGCTCTGTATTTAATTCTTATATTGTAATACTGTGGTTAGAGACCGCCAAACAGGCCTCCAGCCAGTGGTAACTAAAGCAAGGGGGACTTGCTTTGGCTTGGTTTGACTCCAGTGAACGTTGAAATTGGTTGGTTGGTACCTTAGGTTTAGAATTGTTTTGGGAGCTCGTAAACAATTATTAATGAGGATAGAATAGCAAAACCCAGTCATTTGGGGGTTCCGTGCTGGTTTCCCTCCTTGCTCTCATTTTTGGTAGTCTGTGGTGAAGAGCACCCCTGAAGGAGTTTGTTTTAAAGGTTTGCCACAGTGAAAGGCTACGTGGAGTTTTACTTTTGGTCAGATGGTTTGTGCTGCTGTTGGTAGGTTTTTGGATGGGTCTAATTTTTTCCGTCATTTTTTTTTTTTCTGAGGGATTTGTGACTGTTTTCATTCTGCACATGCACATATCTGCAAGTGGGGGCTCTTGGCCATTAGCTTTCAGGAGTTACCTATTCACACCTGCCAACCAGGGCACACTCTGGCAGTGACTAATTCTGTATGTAAAACATCTCACCTGTAGGAACAAGTATTTATGCCTCAAGAAATGCATGCTCACCAGTGGCATAGGAGTGAGAGGAGACTAGCTCCTGGGATGCCTGCTTTTTTCCACCTTCATTTCCTGGAACTGCCCAAAGGAGCTGGAGAATTTGCTCTGAAAACCAGCCCCTGGCTGGATAGATTTCAGATGCTTCCCCTATAGTGTTAATTAGATCTTTCCCTCCCCCCCTTTCCCCGTGGTTTTATAGCCTTTAAGGGCCCTGTCAATCTTCCTCTCAGGACAGTGCTCTGTCATTCTTTCTTGCAGATCATTTTGAACTCCATGCACAAGTACCAGCCAAGGGTGCACATCATTAAGAAGAAGGATCACACAGCTTCTTTGCTAAATCTGAAATCAGAAGAGTTCAGAACATTCATCTTTCCAGAGACAGTTTTTACTGCTGTTACTGCCTACCAGAATCAATTGGTGAGTAGAATTGCTAATTTCCACAGATGTAACTAGATCCCACCCTGCTGAAAACTCCCTCTGCCCAATCTAAACTAGGAAAATTTCTTCCATAATCTACCATGCCATGCCAAACTTATTCACATTCACGAGTAATTCCTGAAGATACAGTAGTAGTACAGACTTCAAAGAGCAGCAAGGATTATTCATGAGAGTGAAACTGGCAAGTAAGAGGCTTTCTTTTGTCTTCCCCTCTGTCTATACAAAGCTGCTTGCATATTAACATTTAGTCATTTTCTAATTATAGCTCATTAAAGAACTGTTCTTATTTGCAGTGATCTTTCATGCCACAAGCTACGAGCTGAGAGAGATTCTGGTTTGCACATGATGATTTCATGGGCTTAGAAAGTTGACTAATTAAGCTGTAAAGCTCAAACGTAGGGAAAATCACTCAGAGATATGCTTTTCAGAGGCTGCCCAGATTACATCCAGATGTTTGAATTTCAATTTGCATGCCAGTGAATAATGTATACAAAATGGAGGAGATCATAACAATGGATTGCTAATGAGTAATTTTAGGAAGTCTATAAACAATCAGAGAACAGAGGCTCTGCTTGATGGTGGATTGGGCTTTAAGTCAGTGGAAATACGTTGTTGCCTTCAGCGCGATTCGGAGTGTGCTTTAAGGACTTACTGACTATGGTACTTCAAAAAAAAACCACCTATTTTGCTCCTTAGTTCCTTCAAGTTCAGAAAAATATAGGCACTGCCCAAATATGTGGGCAGGCAGCGTCAGAGAGTTAATGTACCTGCTGGATTATTTAAAGAAGTAGGCATTTCCTAATATGAAGCAAAAGCAATTTTGAAGTGCTATGAATAAAGTGAAACTAATGCAGAGGGTGTCAAGGAAGCTCTGAACATAATATTAGTAACATTAAGTCAGTCCTTATGACAGACCCCACATCCTGCTTTAAGGCTTTAATGTATTGATTTAGACTTAGATTTGTATCTGAATGCTGTAGAAAACATACTCAGCACCTGGCAATCTCAAGAAAATAATGTTTGGACAGGCAGTTAGATTTTTCCACGTAACTTTCTTTAGAAACCAGCAAAATAGTAACAGGCTAACAAAACCAGCTAAACCCAGAATTTATTTTTGTAGGATGGATTTTTGTCTACCGATGATATTTACACTAGAGATGTTTCTAAACTAAAAGCACATACACGGAGTCCTGGAAAATTTCTCAATGGAACATCTCCGGAACCCCTAGAGGTTGATGTTGTCATTTTATTTATGACTAATGAAAATGGAGCCTTTTTTCATTTTTGCCATTTCTTTCAGAACTGTTTTAAGGAGGGATTGATTACATTTCTGGAGGTTATTAGATAAAAGCTAAATACATTACACTTTCAACAAACTATCTCATAATTTAAGATTTAAAGGGCAAGCATTTATTTAAACAGTCAAACCACTGCCACAGAGTTGAATTGTAGGTCAGATTTCATTTTAAAATGCTTTCTAGCAGATGTTCTCTGATTGTTTGTGAGACAGTCTCTCAGGAAAAATATGGCCATAAATGATTGTGAGTCTCATCTGGCTTTGGTGGATACAAAAAGTTTCTTCTGTGATGTCATACCAAAACTTTAATATCAGGAAGATGGAAGTTTGATTGGTGAAAATATGCTCAAGAGATGAATAGACATCCTTATTGTTCTGTAGTGCAGTTGGCTTGGTGTGCCGGTGATCTCAGCCAATGGAACTAGTTAGAGCTTGTCTTTTTTCAAGGTGGTTTTCAAAATGCTGCCGGAAAAATATTCACTGGATGTGAGGCACTACCTTACCACTCTGCAACATCACCATGAGCTGAGGGCTTATGGATGTCTTGGAAGTAGAATGAGCCTATAACTAATTTTCTGAGCTTTTTCAAGGTCCTTCTGACAAGGCTTCAAGGTTGTTTCCACCAGCTGTACATGAGTGATGAGACAGCCTCAAACTCTCCACCAGCACTCAGGTCCATGGTGTTTGACCACTGACAGACCCTTAATTAAAAACTCAGAATTTCCCTTTGTCAGCATGTCCCTTCCTCTCCATGTTTTCCTCAGAAGACCTCTTTCCCAGAATTAAAAGCTGGGTCCAGTTGTCCTCTTTATTTTTTTACATTTTGTATAAATATATATTTGTCCTTTTAATTATTTTTTTTTTATTTTGGGGGAGAAGCCGTTCCATTTTGAAAAATATTTGTTTGATAAGAATGTTTCATTGTTTGAGGATTTGGAAAAGATCCCATTTATTTTTTCCTGAGTCTTGAGGCCCAGTTATTAAAAATGAGGTTGTAGCCTCTTTGATACAGGATTTTTTTGAGGGAAGTCAGGCTGACAAAACCCCTTAATATGAAATGTTGAGAGCTGTTGATTTTCATGGGCTTAAGCTAGAGCTGGTTGCATTCACTGCCCTGCAGGATGGGTTCTGTGTTTTCTCTCATCAAGCTCTAACTCCCACTTACAATTTTATTTTTAGCTCTTGGAAGAAGTATGGCTGGAAAATCCAAATATTACAATGATGTCTCAGGTTTTATTCACCAAATCTAAATTTGTTTGATAGATAGAAAACTTCACAAGAGCAATGGTGCATATTTTTACTGGTCCTCAAAAAAACATATTGAAAGCCACCACCATATGAATAAAAATTTTCACCACAAAGGAGAGCTCAGATGTTTTGGGGCAGGAGGGATTCCTGGTCAGTGGGTTGCTCAGTCAAAATGGAAAGGTTGACTGAATGAGTGGCAGGTTTATAGCTACCTTTGAAGAAGTTTTTATTCATGATCCATGGTTTTTCAAGACTGTGACAGTTTCAGTGGGGTCACTCCTTCAATCCAAGTTCTGTCACTTTAAATCTCAGCACTCCCCACATTTTTCCTTGCCTTCCTCAGCCTCTTTTCATACAAAACCAGTTAAACTGCCCCTATGTGGTGGCTGGTAGGCCTTGCTGAGAAGATTTCCATCCCAGTAAAAAAAAAAAGATGGTGGTGAAGTGAAGCCATGGCGTCAGGTCGCTGGGGTTTGTGTTGGTTGAAGTGCAGCTCCAGCAAGCAGGCTCAGCTGTGTTAGCAGGGTGATTTGTGCTGCTTGTGGAAAAGACAGCCTGATTGATGCTGGTAAACTATTTGAAAGCTCTAATGCTGTCCGTGGGTGGGTTCATCCTGCTCCAGGCAACAGGAAGGCTGACCCTTTGGTCTTTCCACTGGCACATGTGCAGTGCTCCCTGGTTTGGCTCCTCAGCTCTGCAGTGTCTCAGGAGCAGCACACACGCACGGGGCACGCGGATGGAATGAGCAGCAAAGTCACAGGGGATGGATTGCTCAACACTTTGTAGGCGGCAGTGCCCCGACACTGTATTCGTGTAACGTCGCTCTTTTTTGTGTTCCCAGATAACCAAGCTGAAAATTGACAGCAACCCTTTTGCTAAAGGATTCCGTGACTCTTCCAGACTCACTGATATCGAGAGGTAATGGGGACTTTCTGTTTACTTTCCATGCAGATAAGATAAAGAGAAGAGAGAGTTTGTAGGAAAAGCATCCTTTCAACTCCTGAGAACCTGTGCATTTTAATGTTATCTTGCTGCATATAGTAAGACTCCTCCACATCCTTTAAAAATACTTATAAACTTTATGAAGAAAGAGCTGTTTTGAGTTTTGACATCTGTTCCAGTTGGGGCCAATATATTCGTCTTCCTCAGGGGGCATCTTGAAGGGGGAAGAGGGTCAGTTTTACAACTTCAGAATGAAAAGCCTTTTTCTTATCATGCCATTTAATCCTGTTGAGAGCTGTGAATTGGGTCAATGGGAAACAAGGGCAGTGGTCCTGTGAAAAACATCTTTACAGCTCCCCACTGCTCAACACAGTGGAAAAGAGAGAGGAGAGCTCCCAAAATTCACTTCAGCAGTCCCAGACACCAAATTGGCAATTACTGCAATCAGGATGACTCCCATAACTCCCACTCTGACAACAAAGATGCCATTTTTGTTTCACCAAAGTTGTATCACAAGCTGCGTCAGGGGAAAGCTTTATCTGGAAACTGTTTTGTGTGTGTACAGCTCATTACAAGCAACTGCTGCCATAGGGACAGAAGCATTAACTCACAGCTGAGTTAGGAAATAAACTTCAATCTCTTGGTCGCTTTCCAGCACATCACATTTTTATGGTATCGTGTCAAATAACTTGGCAAATGAAGCAAATTAAGCTGCTTGTGTCCTTTAAGCTGGAAGAGAACTTGATGGAGATGGATATAGCACATCCAATTTTTCCTATGAGCACACAATCATGAAAGAAAGTTTGGAGAGGCCAAAACCCTCCAGGCTCCTATGTGGAGATATCCAGATGTATCTGTGAATCATTTTTCACAGGTGCATGCAGGGGACAAGCTGCTCAGTGAAGTCATAGTCACAGAGCTAGAGAAACTCTTTACAGCAGTTCAAAAGTACATCTATCTAAGCAGGCCCATGGATGGGAAGTAGTTGTATCCTTTACACCCTACTAGTGACTGGATCATAAGTGATCTGTTGAGTAAATGGGTAAAAGAACAGTAATTTGGGGAAAGAAAGCTTGTAGGTTGCAGTGCACACCTGCAAAGTAGTTGAAAATTGTTTCTTAAGTAGAAACCTTGATTGAAAACGAAAACAAATGAAAAAAAAAAGAGGCAAATTTAATAAAATAGCATGGCCTGCTGTATTGAGGGAATACTGAAGTAAACAGCATCCAAAGCTTAGGTTAGTATGCAATAAATAGCCAAGGAAGGACCTGTCAGAGGAGGTTTCCTTGTTTTACAGACAAGAGACATCTAACAACACAGATTTGCAAGTGCGGAAAGAGTCTGAACAGATAAGCTGGGAGAAAAACTTAGTTACCTCTGTGCAGATGAACAGACTATCATGGTGCTGGATATGAAGGGAATTTTTCCAGAGGACATCTTATTATAACAGCACATGGCATGGAGTCAGAAATGCTGAGCATAAGCTGCAGTGCCCTTTTGTTTATTGATAAGTGTAAGAATAGAGCCTGAGACAGGCAGCCGAGCCCAGGCACAAATGTTGCCATGAAAGATAAGGCAGACAAATGTGAAGCCTGCAATAAATATAAGAAGCAGAATGTGAAAAGTATTAAACTTGCATTAAAACTCTGGATTTGAGAGCCCAGGTTTGGGTCAGGCCTGATTTTTGACTTAAATTAGAAAGCTTTACCCTGATTACTATTACAATATTATTTAAAAATTCAAAACCTGCTGCACAACTCATCAAGTCATGAGATAATAAAAGTGTAACAGGCAAGTGGGCTGGTAAGAGAGTGTTTGAGAATTGCCTAAGTCATACAAATGGTGCAGAGATATCAAGGGGTTTATTTGGTTCTGCCATTAAAATACTCAGGCACATGACGACATCATTCTCTAAGTGCCCACCAGTTCTAAAGGTTTCACCTTAGCACCAGCAAAATCACTTAAATCTGAAACAAAGCAAAGGGAATAGTGAAGTGAGATATGACAACAGGGAGAATTTCTTATTTGATGTCCATTGCAACATTAATTGCAAATAGGTGATTCTTGAATAGCACAGCATGACTCTTGCTCAGTCTAATTGGAAACTATCAGATCGCTGCTGGAGAAAAATACTTATTTTCCAAGGAAAAGACTGTGAAGGCCAAAACACACTTGCACAGCTCTTGAAAATTGACCAGTTCTCTAGAAGCTGTGAAAATACTTTCCCAGCCCTGGTCCCTCAGCAGGCGTGCACTCAGCACGTGCGTGTGTAATCTGCAGTGCGGCATGGTGATCCTAATGGGCTCCCGTAAAGCGTCCCATGATGCTGGGGCCAAGACAGCACTCATTTATCCTGAGTTCTAGCTTTTCCAAATGACCTAAGTAGTGTGAAAGCACACAGAGCTTTGTATTTCATTTCCAAGTATTTAAGCCTGCTTTTTCCTAAACAGCCTTTGGGGAGGGAAACAAATCAGATCAATTGATCTTTAGAGACCTAAAGAAATTAAATTAGTCTGGAGTCAGTTACTGCACTAAACCATCCAGTAATTGGATTGCTTCTTGTAACTGATTGAAAACAGCCTCTATCTGTAACAATATAGGGAGCTTTTCTTTATAGTAGATCTGAGAGAAAAACACATCTTTTTATGACATGATGACAGAAATTGCACTTTTTTAACCTAATTGAATATGATTTTATAAATATGTGACTTTAACGATTTCAGGCTTCCCATTCTAGATTTACGATCCTTATGTAAGAAATTCAAGCTGCAAATGCCGTTAGGATTAAATCTGTTGGAATTGTATGTGTTGGAGTTGAAATAATATATATAAAGGTAGTGAAATATGCACAGCAGTAGAGGAGGTAGGCAACAGCAATGCTTTTGAAATGCTCTGTGTTTTCTTTTGTTCCTGTCTAAATACCATGGAATGGTTTCCTTGTACTTATTGCTATATGCAAGTCTTTTAACTATCAAAAAAAAAAATCTTCGGTGAGTTTGGTATATACTGAACATTTTGTAGGATGCAAGGTTCCCGTCACAATCAACCCTTTCCCTACATTACTTGTGGTAATCTATTTATAGCAATGGGGCAGACTTTATCTGCGGCTACTGGGATTTAGATAAGTTTCTGACTCACCTTTTGATCTTTTTACGTGGTATTTACATCTCCTCTACTATAAAACGGTTCCCACTGTGGCTGTGGATGAAAAAATTGAACACTTAGCAGCAATTACCAGAATATGGAGCTTAGCATACTGTGGTGTTGACTATGGGATGCCAAATTGGGTAGTGAGGCATTTCTGCTGAAGAAAAAGCTGCCACAGGAATACAGGATGCAGAGGCAGAGCCCAGCAGATTAAATTTTTTCATCTTGAGTCTGAATTTATCTTTTGAGCTGTTGCGAAAAATTAGCCTGTTAAAAATAAATAGATAAATAAAACCATCATAATTACATACCATTCAAAAAATCCAGTGAAAAAGGTGATAATTTCAAGAGCAGGAGCCAAGTATGTGATAGGTAAGCTCAGGGTGAGGATTTTTAATATTTAAGGAGAGAGTTAAATGAGCATACCCATCTGAACTAGTCCAATAATGCTTCTGGGATACTTCAAGAGGAAATATGGAAAAGTGTGGTTGCACACCCAAGTAATTTTTAGGTAGAGAAGGGAAGGATGGGGGGGGATGGGGAAGTTAGAGATCAGCATCCCAACTGGATTTGCATGGTAATAAAATTCCAGATTTTCCCCTGAGGAGCTTCATCTCTGAGATGTGGAAATACATCACACTGGCTTACAAGGCTGTAAGCAAAGTTCATGCTAATGCCTGGGTACTTCCCTGCTGAAGGATCAGTCAAAGCTCAGTGATGGGCTGAGCACAGCCATCCTCTCTCCCAGCCCTTCCCTGCTCACCTCACTGAGCTGCCTTCTTCCCCATTCCTGTTGCCTACTGCTGGTCGAGAACTTCCCAGACTCTTGAAAGCCCTCTACCAACAGCCAGAAACATACACAGGCTCTGTGACCTACCCCCACATCCATGGTAAAGTAGGGCTTTGTCATAGTTCTCCAATAAGTCAAACTGCCAGCTGATCCTTTATTCTCAGCCAGTTGTCAGTCTGTGAATGTCAGCAACCAGCCATGAGATATCTCTGATGTTTAGGTTCAGAGAAGAAAAGTCCTGAATTTAGGGAGAAATACCAAGGACTCTGGCACCTAAACACCTGGTATCTAGTGCCAGTATTCCAGATGTTGCTGAGGTTACTCCAGCCTTCAGCTGCTGCTCCAGATGGGTGGATGGATTGTCTGTACTTTCTGCATCATCCCTTCCAGAACACTGCAGGATGCCTTATCTTGAAAACACTACCTGCCCATGTTTAAACACCTGAATTAGTCCCTTCAAATCTGGTACATCTGACTGTGCTTGTTGTTAGCCAGGCAACTGTTCCTTTTCACCCAGCAGAAAGCTCCCCTGTGCCACTCAAATCCTCTTTAGTTCCCAAGTTTTTAAGCACTCATACTCTGGCTCATTTTCCACTTAGGCTTTCTGTTATCTGTCTTCTTATTTGTGCAAAATGGTATAAAAATATTATTCTAGTTGTTTCCACTCACCTCATGCAGATGTAGTGTGGGCATAACAGGTGGGGATGATGTCAAATTAGATCTATGGTTTCCACTCCAGAGAAAGTTTTCCAGGGACTTCCCCCTACAATTTCACAGGACATCTCTGTACTCACCTCTCATCATCTAGTTAGAGTCAGGAAGAAATGGTTACTCCCCTGGATGAAGTGGAACTCCATGGGGCTGGCTATGTAAGATAATTTTCTCATTTTTATTTGCAATTGAGAGAAGTGGTGTGAGTGTATTGATAGCTTCATACCCCTTCTTCATAAATGTCATTCCTTTTCCCATGCCATGGCTTCACCTAGGCTTTGTCACATCCATGCATATTACAGCTCATCTACAAGTGCTGGATTTTTAC